ACAATTTGAAAGGATGATTTTCCCCTTTCCCTCTATCCTGGACACCTCTGTAAGTTGGACACATTATCGTGGAACTGCAAGTGTCCAAGTTAGAGAGGTTTTACTGTAGTATATAATCTACATCTAAAATAAATTAAAGAAATTACTTTACTGATTATTCAGTGTTTATCATAAAATAATATATATATTTTTTTTTAAATTTCACGTACCCCTTAAGATGTCTTCGCGTACCCCAGGTTGAATACCACTATCTTAAGCGATATACCTCGGGCGTAGCAAGAAAAGGGTTGAATACGACAGCCTTAATTATTATCAGCCATCGACCAGCTCCGCTGAGCACATCAGGGGTCAGAGTCGTCAGACAACACAGCAGATAAGAAATCTATCGCACGTATCCAAGTCCTTGATCCGGACCGCCGAAAAGAGGCACGTTATTTGGAACTTCACGGAAAGAAGAACAAAAGTGAATCTGGTCTTAACGTGGATGTAGTCGAGTATCACCACGTCTTCCGTTTCGCTAGTGTTCAGACGTGCTTTACTCAGGGCGCATTTTTCCTGAATACTACTCTAGCGTCGATTATATTCAGAATCTTTTCTTTGCTGTTATACGAACCTTCTCGTCGCCTTGGATACCAACATCAATTAATATCGGATAGTCTTCTGTGTTCTTGCTGATTACTCCGCTAACCACAATACATCTTCATCATTCGCCTCGTCATAAATCCGTCCTCAGATAGGAATTTCACGATATTGATGTGATGATGTGGAATGGATTGAGCTGGGTCACGACAAAGCCCAGCGGCTGGTTCTTTCCATAAGATATGCAGAATTTCTTACTAGGTAAGACTTGTCAAAAAGCTTTGCTCCAAAGAGTTTATAACAGAAAAGAATTAGAAAGACCTCGCAGGTTGTATCTGGCGTGACGTTCGAAAATAATGAGCCTTCGAGCTCTTGGAATAAGTTTAGCTTCACCATGAAATACTGCGAATCTATTGGTAGGGGAACCCCAGTGACACTTCGCGATTCATTTACACAAGCGTATAGTAAGTTTCGGACTGCGAGGAGGGCAGAAAGCTCGCATTTACCGCCAACTCGCTTAGTACAGGATGTCTCAAAAAAGATTTATACACACAATTAACGGATTTTCGTTGTTCGAAACTCAATCCACCCTCCGCCATTTTGTGTATCTGAATCATGGGAAAAGATATTATGCTGCCATCTGTTAAGTATAGACCGCACTAGGTTTCCCTCGTAAAAACAACACACGGAGTTCGATAAGAAGGTTAATATTCCGTATTAAAATGTGTATAAATATTTTTGGGACACCTGCGCATTCAAGAAAAGAAACTACGACTGAAAAACGAATCTGCACGTTCTAAATGAAGACAACACCGCGTGTCGTAAAAATTAAAACTTTTTATGCCCTCGTGAGTGGATTAGTAAAGAAAATCTTCTTAGAAGACACTGATTTTATAAAAGAGAATTTTTTATTTCAGCAAAACCGTTACTCTGAGACGTGACTTGTAAAATGAAACATGGAAGCTGATACAAGACCACAGATGAACATTCAAGAATAAAAATCAGTCTGCTCCCAAGTAAACCAGAATTACCATGCAGCGAAACGACAAATCTGACGTGTATTACTCTCAGCACTAATTAACACGCAGAAATATCCAGGTATATATACGAAAAACTTACAAGTGGAATGTAATTGGAATTAGGGGGCGGATGCCTTGAGTGGATACGAAGACGAGGTATACAAAGATTTACCTCAGTACATCAAAAGACTGCACTGAGTTACAAATAGAGACACAATTTAAGAGCGATAAGGAGTGAAGCTGTACAGAAAATATTTCAGTTCTGTAGGCCTGCTATCCATAAAATACTATTAAGTTATTAAAATCAAAGGGAGGAGATTTTAAAGAAATTTTGCATGTACTAATGAGATAAAAAAAAATCCATATAACATTATGATCGAAAAAACTAAAGCGGACCGAGAAAAATACGAGAGGAAAAATACTGGCCCAGAATAGCTCCAGTTCCGAGCTTTTGTGAACATGATCATTCAGCCTGCGTTACATAAAGGCACCACACCACGTGATCAACTGCGTCTATGTGTGGGTAGGACTATGAAGATTCAAAATATATTCAAAGCAAACTTGAACATTCATTAACTCGTCCCTAAGTGATAAACTGTCGGCCAGGAGTTAAAAATGCAGGTAGGCACCTTCCAATTCACTGGATTAGCAAAGTTATGACTAAGCAGAATATGAGGAGCGTAAAAAATCCATATAATTCTCAATATTAGAAATTTTACTCTGCAACTCCATTTATAACAATGTTTACTTATCGATTATTCAGGTTAGAAAGTTTTAATTATGTACTAGGATGAAAGCCAGAAGCAGGTCACTGAATTAATGCCACTTTTTTCTGGGTGAAGCAGATATCAGGAAAAAAAACCTGCTTTATCTACACAAATGTCAAGAAGTCGCTTGATGAATACAGCTACATTGAACAACATACTTTATCACTTCACTGCGATATAAAAATAAATTTTGACCTTCGTTCCATAATTTACAAGGAAAGACAATCATTATCATGCCCACACAATAACAACTTAATGATACATTTGAGGACTATGGCACGTAGACATAATAACATGTCATAAGCGCAGATTTCCTCGTAAAATACAGAAAGACGACTTAGAAAATAACAATAAACTGCAGTATAATTACGGGATCTGACAGAAAGCATATTAAGAGTAAGAACAAATAATGAATCCCATTAAAACATGCATTTTTTCCCTATACCGCACGTTCACACTACAAACCAATACTAAAATACATGGAAAACGAAGATTTCGAGAGAAAATAATTTATTTTCTGGCTCAGGAGTATATTTTAATGATGACTAGTCTGTGCAGAAAACATCATACGTTATAATATAGCCACGTATTTCATTCACTTCAACAAATTCATGGCTTGGGAGGGCAGCACTTCTTGAACTTTCTGATTGTCAAATTAGTGACGCACAAACCTAAGCTCACACGTTTATTTTTGCAAACATGTCAGTTAAATACGTTTACTGACAATTACTGACATGATATTCTCATCATTTAATACTACGTACGACGATTTCGTGTGGAAGCAACTCGAAACACCGCAAACGTATAGTTCTGTTTCTGTGCGCGCGCATCATTCGACCCACCTTCACATTTGATTGCAACTATAGTCGAATCTTATTTTTCAAAATATAAAATTGAGGTTCTGTTACTTACCACAGCCCTGCTCATCTTCGGAATCTGCACAATCAGGTTGTCGATCGCAGCGTCTCACGAGGTCGACACAGGAATTACTGCAACGGAACTCGTTCGGCAGACAGCCTAGCGCAAACAGAAACGCCATTAGAACTCTGTAACTCAGTTACGCGCTCGTTACTGTAATTATATTAGATCGTCGTTAAGAAACTTGGTTAATTTCACTTCATCAAAATCAATTTTGTTTAATAACTTTTGAAATCCACCAGAACGTGGTCTAGACTGGCTAAATTTCATGGTACAACTTGCATGGGCAGGAGGAACTTGCGTGGTGACTTTCTGACTCCATCTTGTAAATAAATTATCATGTGCGTCAGTTTCAGAAGTACGCCATGTTGTCAGGATTTCAGTAACAGAAACCTTCAGACGCTCGAATTTTACTGAAATCGACTGTTCATTACCGTATTCACAAGAGCCTGTCACAAAACCCTGCCGAGCCAGATGAATTCAATAAACATCCTAACTGTTTATTTATTTTAATCTTTTATTTTATCATCTACTTTTGGTCTACCAAATGTACCCTTTCTTTCAGGTAAATGAAACTGGCAGGAGATAAGTTCCAGAAGATGTACTCGAACCTGGAATACATACAATTTCCAAATGTATCTGGCTTTTTCACATCTCTTTGGCTTCGAAATCTAGCCCTATCGATAGGTACTGCATTTTTCTCCAAAACTCTGGCATTTATCTATGAGCCTTAAATTTATGATTCTTCTATATTCATAGTGTTTACAACATTCCGCTATCTGTTAACAAAATTTACAACACAAGATAAAATGAGCAAATTAAGCTATTAATCACACAATCTTCGTGTTGTTCCACTTATGATTTACAAAACGTTTAACGGCGTAATTCCGAAAAATAAATGCGGCCAGTTGCAGTGGAGAACAGATGACAGAGAAGCAGTCATTTTGATACGAAGTTCTACTCAGTCTCGCGTTTTTTGGTCCTTGTTTCGCGTGTATTGACGTGTGCATTCAAGTACCTTAAATATCAATTACATAAAACTGAAACAACAAGCATCACCCTTTCGTTAATTCCATTTCATGGGCATTCTTTGCAAAATCTGCCTTATCCACTTCCTTATTTAGCATGTAAAGCACAATTCTTGTAATACATCCACAAACTTCAACCCTTGGTCTATAACAGAACTTCCAGATGTTTCAACTGTTCTCTGCCCCTTCCACAAAAAGAGAGAGAGAGAGAATATTTTTGAAGTTTTCGAACTTCGCTGTTATTGGATCTGTATACGTCTGTCCATTAATATCGATCGATACATGATGTCGAGGAAAAACCAATTAAACTATAATCACGTTATCTTCTAAAGTTTTGCCATTTTACATGTGAACTAAAAATTGGAAACACAGAACTTGAATCAATGAGACTTCAGCTCCTGGGACTATAAATAATGCCCTCACTTGCTCTAGGTCTCAGTTGCCCCAGCACCATGCTTCATTAAACCACGACCTAATAAGCTTTGCAGCTTTCATAAAATACACAGCGCGCAAGAGAAAGCTGGATGAAAATGAGAAGGTAGACGAATAATGGAATTTTGGTGCTGGGACAAAAACATCATCACTTTGTTCCCTGCTTGCAATGCTTCGGGCCATAGATTGCTCACATCACTTCGTATGTGTAAAATACAGAGTTACCAGATATATACAAGTCAAAAATAAAGATTAACAAACCTAAGGTAACAGGACTACAAACTTAATCAACGATCAGTAAAAAAATTTAATCATTTTAATTATACTTCTGCGATAATACAGTATCCTAAAATGTTTTCTCGAGGATTATACAGTTCTTCGTGCTGAATTTAACCTCAAATATAAATGCCACAGAATCGATAAAAATTCTATTGAATTTTCGTGTCCACTGTGAAACCAGCAGTGGGGGAAAAAAATCATCCAACGTATGCATCATGAGATGATATTAGTAAATCGTAACTCTAAACTTTTAGGACCTCGAGGAAAAAGTAAGCCGTTCTAGCGATAAGTCTGGTTACACCGCCGTGTTGACTCTCGTAGTACGTACAGCCTGATGTCGCCATCACGTTCCCACAATTCAACGCGTGGTTGTTGCGGAGACGCGTCACTCGATTGTTCAGTAACAGACAAAAGATGTTCGAGGGTGAGAAATTTCCCACTTCGCACACTTGGACGTTCCCTGTAGAACTACTGTTGGCAGTCAGACACATATCGAACGCAGTGCCACTTAAAACAGAAGAAGAGGCCCTGGCATTCTTCAGTTTCACTTGTTCTAGGCACAAAAGGACTTGAAAGGTAAAGCTTACTTCTCGAATTTCAAGCACAAAACAGAGAACACCAGAGACGGTCTGGAGGAATTCTTCCTGAGCTGTATTACAAGGGGCCTGACAGGCAAATAGCTTTACCGAGTGATGTCATCGACTTCAAAGTTAAGTCTATCAGTACTCCTAGTCTGACTCACGCCGTCGTTTCAAAGCCTCTGCCATGCCAAAAACATTTCAGACTCATGTGAAAAAATTAACATGACCGTCTTCCTGGGATGTTGCGCTCCGTAATCTGGTAAAAGTTTACCGACGTTTCAGAGTTACTTGTTGCCTCCATCATGAGGTCTGGCAGTCTGCATCACCCTTGACAGAGCATTTATTTGGACGTTTTCCATATTTTATAATTTAAAATTATGAAATTCACGACGTTTCGTACACTGGCTCTGTCACAGTCTTCAGGTAAAACACGCAAGGAGTGAGATAAGTGCTTTCGCGAAGATGACGTACAAGTTCCCTCATAAAACACACAAACGTTGCCAACTTCTCACGTTGTACGTCAGAAGAGTTACATCCAGCAAATGCTGCAGGTGAAAAGTAATCAAATTTGCTTCTTATCCTGGAGATCATATATTCGATACCCGATCTGACAGTAGGCTATTATGGAATTCTGGGTCTTTTCCCTAATCCACCACACCAAATACTGTAACCGTAAATTGAAATCGGCCACAGCAGAATTTTTATTGCCATATTCCTCGTGATTCATAGTTCTGCCCATCCCGTTCGGGGCTACGAATGAGAAATGAATCAATAATGTGATAAAACGCCTACACACTTCCACGAAGACACGTTTGGATATGGTCAAAATACTTGACTCGTGAGCGACCGTTACGAGCGGCTCGTACAAAGCGAACTTCTTATTTGTGCCTTAAGATTTCGCTTTATTGACAAAGACTGTCATTTTTTTTATTCAAGCGATTCACTTCTTTATGTCAAATGGTTTCTCCACGACTAGTTGAATCGCTATTTCTTGGAAAAGCGACGCCACCCACACACCAAATACGCGCGCAAGTAACGCCACGTACGGTGAGGCCGAGAGCTAACTTACCAACATAAAATAAAATTTGTGGCGTCTGACATTTCTGGTAGGAAGAAAAGTCAAGTAACATGGTTCCAGCGACTTAGATTTTTTTTCCAAGAGTCCTGGTCAATACTCCGAAGTTCTATAAAGTTCAGTGAGAGAGACCCTACAATCCTTCCAGCGTTTGTCTTTCGGAGACAAAACATTTTAACTCTGGAGTTGCAAGGAACATGGCCTGAAGCCACAGCAGAACTGTGGACAAAGCAGAAAGGAACAATATGCAATAAAGAATCTACAGCCTCAAGATACAGCGTGTTCTTTCTTCCCGAGGGTAGTTGTAACAGTCTCCCGATTCATGCGGATTAGTGACGAAACTTCAGAAATACAAGCATTAAAATGTCTCTCATGAGTCACAAAGTCCTTACCGCTGTTGTGTGCTAAGAGAAGTACGAGTTCATATGGCTGGTGATACCACGGGGACAACGGGGTTACAGACGTTTCGGAGGAACATATCGTCTGCATCTAAAAGGCAGAATCGAAAACCTCATTCTACACTTTCACAGCAGCGAGAACTTCAGATTACATGAGATCTTAGAGTTTGCAGGACTCTAGCTAAGTCACTATCTCGGAGATAAAGAAAGTGATGTATTAAGACTGACGTCACAGGTCAGAGAAGAACTACCAAGGTTCAGAACTGCGTGGGATGTTGGAAGCAAGACTTCAAGTAATCTGCATCTTAACTTCAGCTTCGTATGGGAATGAGCCGTCACTTTAACGCCACAGATACTGCCTCTGTGTTTCTATTCATTTGCAGGAAGGTACTACAGCTTTTTGTGGGCGTGGCAAACAAATACAATTTCTGATTATCTCGATGGGATTCGACCCACGGGTGTTCTGCCCGTAGTTCATTACTGCTCGGGTTCAACTGTTACCTTCGTGTTTCATTAAAACCAGAATTTTAAACCAGAGATCAGCTTCATTTAAAATTTAAGATGACAACGGAAGAAAGAGTCTGTAATGTCTTGTTTCACTTAGGGCGATGAGTTGCAAGAATAAGGGACACTGAAGAGTGAATCTGATTTTCTGCGGGCCCCTCGGAGTTGTGAAATATTCATCAGAACGCGGACAACCTCCTTCCCATATCCTGAATTGAATCAGCGAGACAGGCTAATCATCACTGGTCCACTGACTCAAATATTTACTCATACGCTGGTCTACCATCATCTGAAGACCTCGAAGAACAGTGATCAGAGCGAACATTCTTACAAACAACTATAGCCGCTCAGTAATAGGAGCTTCGCTCCTTGGTAATCACTTAACTCTTTTCAGGGGTGTTAACGGCATGTAACTCCCGACAACTAGAAGCTTTCTTTATCGCTGAATATAATACTTTATTTATACACTATTTAATTATTTAAGAATAAATACAGATGTGCAGATGATAATACTTGGCTTTAGCCACAAGACGATGATCTCAGAACTGTATTGGGTTTGCGTGCGACTCCCTCGGAAGTTTGTTGAAGAGTCCTCTCTCAACCTATTTAATGCATAAGGTCCAGCAACATTATCTGCTGAGTCACAATGAATCATCAAGTCTAACTAACTTTCTACACATTTCCGCCATAATAATATGACACTTGGGACTACACCCAATTCACGACAGTTTATTGCCCAGGTGTAGAAACACAACACTCCTGAGAACCGAAGGTCCTCGGACGTCTTTGTCCTAAACAGTTA